TTTGCAATGCTGTTTGTGTTGCAGTTGTATGTAGTTATCTTTTTAAAGCTTGAGATATATTGCTCGATTCGAGTTTCAGTTCTCTGCCTCATGATTTTTTTGTGTGGGATTTTGTGATCATTGTGTGAGTCTTTGTTGTATGTTTTCATTGTTTATTTTTTAATTTTAGTAATGATATTATCCGTCTCTTAGATCTGTAATTAGTGGTTAATAGAAACAGAAGCACTAGACGAATGTTTTGAAAATCATGGGTTTAATGAACTAGAGGCCATAATATTAAATAAAACAAATACAGTATGACAAGAATTTGGAATTTTTTACCCTCGCTTAAATAGAAACGAGTGGGTAAAAAATATTGAAGTGAGTGAAGACAGACACACTTAGAATCATACGAATGCTTGAAGTCAAATAGCTGTGAAGAGTATCACTTCCATTAAAAAAATAAAAAAAAAACTTATAACGTGGCGATGACAAGAGATCTTTGATTTTTTTCTCTCTCTTTTTTTCTCTCTTTTTTTTTCTTAAAGGACGTCAGGGGTAGAAATGAAATACGCGAGGGATCTCAGTTTCTGGTAATAAATTGGCAGAAAGAGAAAGTTGAGATAATGATGATAATGATGATCCTTACTTACACATCATCAAGTCGTATTTCTTTCCTGAAGATGAAACGTTACATCATTCTAAAAATAGTCTAGACTGTGGCTGAAATAAGGGTTACTGCAGGCAAAGGTTTTTTTAATTACGTGAAAACTCTACGGTGAAATATTGCCACATTTCACTATCTAATATCCTACTATTTCATTATTTCAACGCTGATAATAAGTCTAATCCCGCGCCCTCATTTCATTAACAACTCTTTTGGTTATGTAATGTGGGTGGTGTTCGGGGGAGAAATAACTCCACATCTGCAGAGTAACGAACAAACATGCGTTGGTATTTTTTTTTTCCGAGAATGTATACTTTTTCCTAAGATACAAGTACTATTATTATGAACGTCAGAGGGTAAAAGTGGGGATATTGGTATGCAGAGGATGACAGAATGTGTGTGTGTGTCTGTGTGTGTTTGTGTGTACGTGTGTATGTGTGTGAGTGTATATGTGTGTGTGTTTGTTTTGTGTGTTTGTGTGTGTGTGTGTGTTTTTGTGAGTATATGCGTGTTTGTGTATGTGTGTTTTTGTTTTGTGTGTGTGTGTGTGTATGTATGTATGTATGTATGTATGTATGTAGGTATGTATGTATGTATGTGTTTATTCATGTGAATGTGTAATACCATACGAGTAGGCCTTCATATATCTAGATTTATAACTATAAATACACACATGACCAATATGTGCCTGTACCTCTGTACACATGAAAGACCATAATTTAGTAATGGTAACCATAGGCTGCTTATTCCTGTTTATTTACGGTAATTCATCATAAATTTCTGCGTCATATTTCCCTTATTAATTTTGAATTACATATAATGCATATAATCTTTCTCTCTCTCTCTCTCTCTCTCTCTCTCTCTCTCTCTCTCTCTCTCTCTCTCTCTCTCTCTCTCTCTCTCTCTCTCTCTCTCTCTCTCTCTCTCTCTCTCTCTTTCTCTCTTTCTCTCGCTCTCTCTCTCTCTCTCTTTCTCTCTCTCTCTCTCTCTCCTCTCTCTCTCTCTCTCTCTCTCTCTCTCTCTCTCTCTCTCTCTCTTTACCTGACCTTTTTTCTCTCCCTCGTTGCTCGTTGCAGCCTGACCTGCATCAACATTTTCTGTTCATTCATTACATCATATGTTTTTATTTCATTGTATCCCTTTTTATTATTCATTTTTATTAATGTCCATTATTATTATTCTCTTTCTTAATCATCTTTATTCATATTTCTCCTCTATATTTCTCCGCACTGTCTGACCTATTTTTCCGTCTCCCATCCGTTGTAGCCTCTTCCATGAAGGACATTTTCTGTCTATTTTTCATATATATATATATATATATGTGTGTGTGTGTGTGTTTTTATATATATACTCTCTCTCTCTCTCTCTCTCTCTCTCTCTCTCTCTCTCTCTCTCTCTCTCTCTCTCTCTCTCTCTCTCTCTCTCTCTCTTTCTCTCTCTTTCTCTCTCTTTCTCTCTCTTTCTCTCTCTCTTTCTCTATCTCTTCTTTTTTCATTCTTTCCCTTTTTTCTCTTTCTTTATCTTTCTTTTCATTTTTCTCATTTTTCTTCTTTCTTTCATTCTTCCTTCTTTATCTATTTTTATCTTCATATGCTCTATTCTTCATCCTCTCTAATCCATATCCATTCCCCATTCATCACACTTGACCTAACCTCATTTTTCTCTCTCTCTCCCCCCTCCCCCCACCCCCCCCTACGCCCACTTCGTCGTCGCCCGCCGCAGCCTGACCTCCTCCATCAATGACCTGACCAGCGAGGCCGCCGTCCTGGAGACAGCCATCAAGAACAATGACACGTACCAAGTTAAGAGACTCCTCGAGCTGCACCATGACAAGTTCCAGGTAAGAAGGGGGGG